TTCTGTCATATATAGAAACTGAACTGAAAAACAAATGAAACTGTATTATGCACAGAAGGATTTTATTATTCGTACCAAGTTCCTTTTACCTAATGCTGACAGAAATAACAGATATCCTCCAGTCAAAAATTAATTTGGTGTAGCAAGAAAATTAGATTTTGAATATCAAGAACAAATACAAATTCTCAAATTCAATTGATATTTTAACCAATAATTATTCATTAAACTTTAAATTAAAATTTTGTTGGCGTGTGAATTTAGGTTTTTCCAGTTAACTGAACCATAACTTCATGAAGACGATTGCATTTATTTATAGAGTATACAACTCTGTTTAACTTCTATGAAACCTTATTGTCACAAGGTGCAAGACAAAGGACTTGAATGGCAGCATTTGGCAAAAAGGGGGGTTTATTAAAATGAACTGGAGCAGGGAAATAAAAGAGATCACAAGGGGTCAAGAAGGCTGGTACGGGGAAGGACACGGGTAGAGTGACATCAATGATCAGATTGGGGCTAATGAGACAAACAGGTACTGAGATACAAAGGGTGACAAGAGGTAACAAGCAACAGACGTAATACACAGGACAGTAATCACACAAGGCTGAGCCACCAGACAGGACAGGACAGCAGAGGATGCATGGCACAGCAATGGGCACGGAACATGCCGAGGCCTGACCAGGGACCAAAAGAAACACAGGAAAGACAAACACTGAACACAATAACACAGACAACACAGACCGAACATGGCACAGAACCAGGCACCAGGGACCACGGACCAGAGACCAGAGGGACAAATGCCAAACAGCAACGGGGACCAGGGAACAGGAGAGCCACAGGACATGGGACAAGACACATGAGACAACTAGGGGCATGAAACAGACCAAAGCAAAACCAGAGACAGCAGGCAACCCTAGAAAGTGGATCCTCCTGTGTTTGTTCACCGGTGAGACGGGGTGCATCTGGACAGCAGGAGCCAAGGACCTCAAAGAGCCAGCAAGACTGGAGGGTGCTGTGGGGCCAGCACGGTCGAAGGCCTCCAAGGGGCCAGAGGGGCTATAAGGCACTGAGGGAACCGCAGGACTGGAGCAGGAGGATGCTACGGGAACCGCAGGGCTGGAGCAAGAGGATGCTACAGGAACCGCAGGGCTGGAGCAAGAGGATGACTACTGGAACCGCAGGGCTGGAGCAGGAGGATGCTATGGGAACCGCAGGAGTACACAGAGGGTATTCTTCCCCGGGCCTCAGCAGGAGAGTTGCATGGGTGGGCAACGTCGGGGAATAGATAACGACTCAGTCAACCCCTCTTCAGGCCCCCAGCCAACACCACTGACCACACCTGGACTTAAGACTGGGTCCATGTGGAGGCGGGGTCCCATTGAGTTGGACTTAAGGCAAGGCCCAGAGGGTCCCACTCTAAGTCTTCCTTTGAGGCATCCTCCAGATCGCCCCAACCCAGCCTGGCAGCGGCCATGGAGCATGGCATTGGCCTGGTGGCAACCGGGGAGTTGGGCGTCAGCTTAGTGGCGGTGACCTGCAGTGGACGAGGAGGCTACAAAGCGGGCACCTGGTGATGACAGGAGGCTGTGAGGTGGGCACCAATAGGATACCAGAAGATGACAAGACGGGGGCCGACGGGACGGAAGGTGATGAGGGTTAGGGTTAGGGTTAGGTTAGGGCAACTGGATGGTGGGGCTCCGTGAGAGAAGAGACAGGAGGGTTAGGCGGAAATGATGGACAGGATGTAACGCATACATGATTTTTTTTTTTCCAGTTAAACTTGACACCATACAAACATTAATTATAAGTACATTACCATCCCAATATATGATACCTCTACTAATTGCACTAATTCATATTTATAGAATTATTTATTTTTTTTACTCAATCCCAATTTATGTGTAATAAGTTCATTTTCAAAAGCAGTCAGTTTGCTTTATCATAGCTATGACCTGGAAACATGACTCCCCAGTTGCAAGTGTACAATAATAATCTGAATTTAATTTTGGCATTCCATAAAAAAAGATAAACAATGCATCTATACTTTCTAAATCTTGTCTTTCTCAAACACATATACAGTATCAAAATGCACTGTATAAAGCTTATACAGACAGTGAGATTAAGCTATATCATTTGATACAATATATGTAATTTAATTGTTATGATTTTATCTTTGCTTTTTGTGATAGTGTAGTGGAACTGTTTTGATTCATTGTCATTTTTGACGTACAATTTATAGGAAGGAAAATGGACATTACATTTTCTAAATGTAATTCTCAAAGCAATTTCCTGCAACATGCATCATCTCTTGAAATATCTGAGGACAAACTATCCACAATTCATGTGATTTCATTCATTTGCAATAGCAATAATTGATTTAAATGTTTTCTTTTTAGCTAGAGCTTTTGCTACTGAATGTCATGACCTGCTCGTACGATCCTCGTGTGTGCCACGCCCCCTCATTACCTACGCGTGCTACCCCGATTGTGATAACCTGTTGCCTGTTATTTTCTACTTGTCTTGTGTATTTAGTCCGCGCTCAAGTCTGTTTCCCCAGGTCTGTCATTAACGTGAGTTCGCCTTGTGCTTCCCTATGTCCTGTCTGCATTAATAAACCCCGTTTTACCCGTATTCACGGCTCCCTTCGCCTGCTTCCCCGCTCGCCCGCACGCCGATACAACACTGAATTGATCTTCATGGAATTTGTCTACAGATCTGCCATAATTAAATCTGACATAAGTAATTATTTGAAGAATACTTTCAGATTTAATGGCTTTGTCATGGGGTAACAGGGACAATAACTCATGTTGCAACTAAAAATAAGTATAATATAGATTTAGTATGATGTTTTTCAGTGATCCAGGAGGAACCTTCTGTATGCTGGATTTTGTCACAACCTACATATTAAATAACTAGGGTTGACTGAGTTGTTATTAAATTATGGTCTAGATGAGTTAATCAGCTCTATTTGCATGAATTTATTTCTGCATATGTCCTCATGTTATACCAAACAAACAAACAAACAAAACGTATTTCATATGCTTTTGTATTAGTATATTTTTATACATGGCAAAAACAGTTTGAGTAGTACAGTACTTTCCTACTTTACCAACAAATACTCCTAAACTGCAGATCCTTTAAGATAGTTAAAGTTAGGATTTTGTCGGCAAAATGTAAATTATGTCACTTTAAATATATTGGATAAATTTATTAACCTAAGTTTAAAAATTAATTTGAAATCAGCCATTCAGTTATTTAATTTATGTTCAGGAATTGTGAAAATGCCTTACACAGTGCCGAAAGTTTATTAGCGTATCCAAGCCCTTGAACTTGAGGACAGATTAATTTATTAATATTATGAACCGCTAATTCATAGTAATAGAAAGTGCTGTTGCAGAGTTAGACCACCAGGTGGGACCAGACAACACCTCTAGTAAACTACATCAGTCCAAAGAGGAAAAAATGATAATTTAGTATTTTATAGTATATATCAGGTTTGAACATGAATCTATCTTCCACTCACCTATACTAGTCAGGAATGGGAAGCCAGTGCATTACAGGGGACATGCACACACTGACACACACTAACACACACTGACACACACAATGAAACACACACTGCACACACTGTGAAACACACATGCACTGACACACACACTGACACAGACTGACACACACTGTGAACCACACATGCACTGACACACACATTGACACACACATTGAAACACACACTGACACGCACATTGAAAAACACACACATTGACACACACTATTGGCAGTTCAGAAGTGCCCATTAGCCATTAGACCACCATGTCTCCTTAGGGTTTAATCATTTCAGAGTAATTTAATCATTATTTACTTTAGTTCTACAGGTCGTTAGTGTACTTGTCAGCAAGTATTTGTGTGTCATTTCACTAAAAATACCCATACAGATAATGTAATCTGCTTTGCAACAAATGTGCTAACTTGATAACATGATGGCTCAGTGGGTAACAGGTCTTAGGGTTAAAATCCACTCAGACTATGTGAAGTTTACATATGTTTCCACATGGGAACTCTGGTTTTCTCCTGCAGTCTAAAAATGTGCGATTAGTGTAAATGGTTTTTCCACTTTGCCATAATGTGTGCTTTATGATGGTCTGGTGTCTTTGGACAGACTCCAAGGTGATCGTGGTCCAATACTAGATAACAGACTGTGAAAAATCCATGGAGATGCATGGACATATAACAACAAATAACATTTATTTGAGGGAATAACACCAACTTGTCCAGTGTGGAAAACCTTTAAACAGCTCAGGAGATGGACAGGACTACGGGATTACACTAGTAGATTGAAGAAATTAATCCTATTACCCATTGCCTACTGTAATCTGATGTAATTTCTTTTTATATCCTTCTTTTAAGAAGGATAATCTATATAGTGTTTCTTTTTTAATGTGTGAATTGTAAATTAGCCATGTTAGTGGTCAGTTTTATATATGTTTTGAATCGAAATAACAACTGTATATAACAACAATATACAAAGTTGATGACTTTTGCATAGAAAAATGACTTGACACCACTTGAGCAGTTTGCAGGTTTATTTTATAGTTTGCTTTTTCGATGTGCTGGATGTCTGACATGCTTACTTAGGACCCTGACAGGATGGCCTACTTGCTACTAAACTTCCCGATTTTGTAATGACTCCGTGAAAGCTACAAACAACAATTCATGTCAGACGGAGTCAGCAGAAATGTATTTGAGCCCATTGCTGTGAAATGCCAAAGAAATTAAGCCACCTGTACAGTTTATTTAACATAGTTATTATTCCTTTGTTATTCATTCTGCAGCGGACCGGATAACGCAAGTCGCCGTCAGAATAAATACTTTGTTTAAATTCCGGAAATAGGCCTATATAAACATCTACTTAGTGGAAAGGAGATAAACGATCCTTGGTGGAGGGAATTTTACGGTTCCCTTTAACACGCGGCGCCTACCCCTCCCATTTTGAAAGAAATATCTAGACCTAGAACCGGAAATAGGAAATTTCTTTCTTTGCCGAGGCAATTTCCTTCGGCAAATGTAACATGTAGGTTTCACGGATACTAATTCCATCAAATCGCGAGTGAATTCCCTTTAAATTATTAATCTGCCTGGATTTGCCACATTTATTACTTGCTCCGGACAGCTGTATTTCTTTGAGGGGGGAAAGGTTTGATTGTGAAGCGCGAAAGTTGCCCAAGTGTTTGCTTAGGAAGTTGTAATGTCTGCCAGGGCTGCGGTGCAGATCACGCCAGCCGTTCAGCGCCGTTAAAGCCCTCCGCCGTCAGGGTCACGATGGATGCTTTTTGGATGATAGTGCTGCTGCTGATCCCGGTCCTGTTCTTCACAAGCAGCACATTCGTGTTTTATTTCAAAAAATGTTTCTATGTAGCATGGATGATGTTTCTGGCCGTGTTCGCGATCCCCATCTGTATTCTAAAGAGCGGAGGCAGAGACATAGAAAACATGAGGTAAGTAAATTCATAAAAGCAATCGCAGGGGAAATATCTATGTTTAGCGAATGGTCAGTATCGGTAGATGCTCGGATTAGCGGCCACAGCAGCCATAGGTTTGTTTTGTGCTGTTTATAAAATGAATCCGTTCCCGCACCATCATGGCTGAATATGAGTATGAATGCGAGGAACGCAGATCAGTGATTAGCTGGATGAGATATAACGGTGTTCTGTTTGTTCATCTTTTTTTTCCTAAGAAGTTAACGTTGCAAAACAGATATTATGCTACAGCTAATGGTCTTCTGACGCTTCGTTGTCGACAAGAATAGGCAGTGAAGGTTCTTGGGCCCATTACTGGACAATTTTGAAAATATGACACGAATGATAAAAATCCATCTAGTCCTGGAATATGCAATATATTAAATTTGTTTAGGTGGGTTTAAATTCGCCCTTAAAACATAGCGAATTTAAATACAAGATGTATATCATTAATAATAAATACTGTAGGTTACCCCAAATGATGGGCAATTCTGTAGTGAAATCACGTGCCGCTGCTTGTCACTTTTCCCACGGTTACAGTTACGATTTCTAGGGTCGTAATAAAATTGGTTGATATATATATATGTTAGTTAAATATCTACACGTTTGTGATCATAAACTGCTGCGTATATCTTGTATTCTAGAACGCCACCTGCCGATTATTTTCGATTGTTGGATTATTGATAATCACCAACAAGTTGTAGATTATTGTTGGCGTCCGGCTATGTTTATGAGTCAATGCAGCCTTAACTTTAGTCGCCTTGTTGATTGTAGATAGTAAACACAATGGCTATGTATTAGTACTTAAGTGTAATCATAGCTAGCTTTGAATGTTTTATTTAAACGTATTTGCTAAAGTAACTTATATATGGGCATTAAAATAAATTATTCCAAATGTTTAACGTTATTTTTTTTAGCAACCGTGCTGCAGTGTAGTGATAACATGCTACATATTTGGGAAAATATTTTTCTTGTTTCTCTATTACTTGGAAACTAATTCATTTTATAAGGGAACCGCCATTCCTCCAGTGAATGCACTGTACTTTAAATCTGCAGGATCCCAGAGCCTGTCAGACCAATTGTGGCCCAGTGCTCCATTCTTAAAATAGCCATTTGCCGGTAAATGAGAAGAACAACTTTGGGAATTCATTTTGCGTCAGCATTAATAGGGTATGTCCTGTGGTGAGCTGGCATCCCGTCCAGGGGGTTTGCCGTGCCTTAATTGTGCCCTATGCTGCTTGAGATGGGCTCCGGGCCTGAATGGATGGGTGTATAGATATACCTTTGTAAATAATACAGTATGGATATGGGAGGATTCCATTGACTGTGCGGTTCTGTTTGACTGCTTGTATCCAGATCAACTGTGACCTGAAAAAATATTCTGTTTTGAGACCAAATCATAGGTGTACATAACGCTTGTACGTTTATAGAATTTCCATTCCTCTGTCAGTGTTTCATTATCACTCATCCAGTACAGGGTCACACTGAGCATGCAGTCCCTCATAGGACGCTCGTCATGGAATGTCATGTTTGGGATACCGGTCCATTATAGGGCTCACAGTCACACACGCCATGGACAATTTTAGAGAGACATTTTTACCTATGCACATGTCTTGTGAAAGGAAACCCCTGTGAACTCTAGCATAACGTGCAAAATCAACACACGCAGGGGTGGCATTCAAACTCCTGGAGACGTATCCTCTGCTCGTTTTCTGTAGTCAGATTGCTTTGTGAATGTGGGCATGCTATGAGGTTTTGAGACTTTCTTTTGCTCGACAAATGCGGTCTTGCATCCAGTTTTCTTAACCTTTTTGATTTTGCGATATGACCAGAATCTCATATCCCCATACAGGTAATTTCATATACAGATCACGATACATTTCACAATATAGCACAGTTTCTGTCAATTCAATTAATGGATTATATAAAATAACCACATGGAGAGGCCTATTTCTTATATTTTGAATTAACATCCTCAACAAATAAAGGTATTTACTCGTGTATGATTTTCTCCTTTTGTTCAGAATATTTGTGCAAATTTTCAATTAAGCATGTAACAAAACATAAAATATGAGTTAAAACTATAAAAAGGTAAACATATAGTTTTTAACTATAGTTAAAAAACAAAATAAATATAAGCTTAACCTAAATATTGCAACATAAAATGTCAAATGTAAACATGGAACACTTTCAAGTTTAAACCAAAGCAGGAAAATAAGGCTCACAGTGTAAACATATGAAATATACTGTAATAAGTAGACAACGCATGCCTTCAGAAATACAAAGTGATAAAATACAAAATGATAAATGGAAAACACTTTTCAACTATAGTTATAAACAAAATCAGAGTCCTCCTTTTTGGAATTACCTGTTCTGTGTCATGCTCTCTCTACCCGATCTGTACCACCTGCCCAGTTTGCACTTCTCACACCTGCACATGTGCAGCATTACACTTTATGGGATACTTTTTGACCGTGCCCGATTTGTACCACTTTATTTCATGACATCTTCGTGACCCAATCCAATCCTGTCAATATTTCTCAAGTTCATTTTACAGACAGCTTGTGAGGGATCTCCACCTGCCCAAAATGGGATATTCAGCCGGGTATCCCAATTTTGGATTCTTTGTGTTTTCTGTTTAATAAAAATTCTGCATAGCACCTGCACTTGTGTCTGAGTGCGTGATTACGGGTCTCATTAGGTATCCCAGTCACGGTGGGGTGACCATATATGTCCGCGACGGCTGCTGCTCTTATGCTGTAGCAAAGTCAGTCGATAATCCCAATAGAACAAAGAACTAGTGAAATGTATGTTATTTATTTTTTCATTTTCTTCTGATCCCACTGATTTGGAGTGATACAAATATGGCTGCACGCAAATGCAAAATATGCCAAACTTTGTATTTCAGTTCAGTGTAGCAGAATACCATGTCGCTGGATAGCAGCAGTTTCAACTTTTGGAAATATACAGTCATGTTTCAGATATGGGATATTTAAGTAATAGTGTTGATTAGGGCTGAACGATTTATCGATTTCAAATCGAAATCGCGATTTGAAAGATAGCGATTAGCAAATCGCAAAGGCTGCTATTTAGGACATACATTATACAGCACGTCGGACCCAAGGTTTAAAACTGTTGTAAGAATAGTTTTCCAAACTCATACCGTGCTCCCTATGTGACAGTCCGTTCTCACCAATCACAAGCGCTGTTCCCCTTATGTGACAGTCATGCTCACCAATCACAAGTGGCCCGAAGCGACGGAGTACACGCCCACAAACAGCAAACACGTGAAACCCGAAGAAAATGTTGCATTCGCTGTGCGGAAAAAATATTGATTCCGCTACTGAGCTGTAAGTGAATTGCCTTCCTATTTCATGGTCCGAGATTGTTTCAGAAAGGTCCTATCATCAATAGAACCGGCGAGCTCCTTTTAAACACCAGCTGCAATATACTTCAGCGTATCATACCTTTGGTTTTTGTTAATAGGCAATAGCATTAGTATACCGCTAAACCATCAAAACAACAATGAGAGTCAGTGATTCTCTCAGCAGCGGAGTCGGTGACCTCCAAAAAAGCCGTAAAACCCACAATACAGTCGTGTTTATGTCATATGTTTTTGTGCTTATTAAATTTAAATGTTTCCAAAGATTAATCCCACATCAGTAATAAAATAAAAGTCTTGCTTTAACATAAATACTAAAAGAATAGATCGCTTTAATCGCTATTACAGTTGGCTATGGGCACGCGGTCATAAAAAGAGACGCATATAATGTTTAATCATTCGTTTTGTATTTGTCCTAGTATAACAAAGCAAAGGAATGATAAGCTGCTTAGGTCGAAAACTGCATTTTACTTCTCATTTAAAATAAAATGCAGGGTTGGCAACTTTGGTCAGCTGCATGGAGTGAGATTTTCTGTTCTCTGTTCTGCACACACATTTACATGCATGTAAGTTTTATTACCTTGTAAATAGTCTGTAGGGTTTGCAAACTGCCGTAACGTTTTTGATGCAGCTAATTTTAAGTAGAGAATGGAATATAGATTTGCCGTAAGATTTCTTGGGTGAGAGTCTGAAAGAGTTTGCAACTATGAACACGTACGTACATTTTTTGTTTCACCTGAATTGATTTGTATAGAAAATAATCGTATACAGTTGTTAAAAAACGGAAACTTCGACCAACATGAAATCACAGATAAATGACTTCTATTTGTTAAACATTTTATAAAATGCATACTACGTTTAAAAATTTCCAGCTTTATTCGCTTTTTTAGACACACTGCTATTATTCTGAACACAACTGTATATGAAGACCATAAGGTATAGAAAGGTTAAAGAGAAAGAGGACATCCAGCAACAAGATGGGTTGATGCAGTTATCGCTACCATGAAAATCCCATTGGGAGACCTAGACAGGAAGTAGTATTCTGGAGGAGTGTTATGTAAATGGTTGGGGAGAATCAACATCAAACTAATAATGATAAATTGCTTGTTAATCCTTACATCCTGTTTAAATGTAGCAATGCAGTGACACTGGTAATAACATGTTAATAAGTTTTGAATCTGCTGCAAAGGACAAAAAGTTATTTGTGTGCTCATGTGAGGATCTTTCAGTGAAGTACTATCATGTAGGAGAGACAATAGAAAAACAGGCATTCAAGAGAAACGTCACTGAAGGGCAATGAAAGCAGAAGTGCATCTGAAAACCCTGCAGGGTGGAGAGCATGCTGTTCTGACGCCGACTTGTGCTATGAGTCTGATCCAGTTGAAGATTCTTGACTGCATGCAGCAGTCAACTGTCCTTTATAAGAAGAATGAGTCTGGTTCTCTCTCCCACTGCCATAGCTGAATGATCTCTGAGGCCAGCCGAATTACCATACTTATCATCTCAATGGCACTTTGACCTTTTTGTTCCTGTTAAAACAAATATTAGGTTTATGGTTTGTCTCCTCCACTCCTGTAGAGTTGTGTCTGTCATTGAAAACGTTGTGCTCTGATCTATGAAACTGTGTATAACATGGAAGGCAGGAATAAAAGTTAGTAAAAAGATGAGCTGGTTATTTTATGTACTGGAAAAATCTTATTTTAAATAACATATGTTCTTGATGATAAGTGAATTCTGAAAACGTAATTGTAGGTACACTGTGTGCAGAATTATTAGGCAGGTACTCTTCCTGAAGATTTCTGAAAAACTTCTGAACTCACTTTTTAAGTTTCCTTTTGCTCCAGGATTTTTTTTGCATGAATATCATGAACTTTTTGAAAGCTGCTGCCTTCTTCTGCCAATACTGTAGTTGAAGATGGAATCTTCTAGAAACTAGCAGTAGATTTTAGGGTTCGTTTTAGCACCATCTGCAAAGTTGAAAAGGTCTTGCAAGTTCATCACTGATAATTGCAGTCCACACCTTGACTTCTCCACCTCCCTGTAGGTGTTCAAAGAAGGTGTCCGTCCACAGGCCCAACCATCTGCATCATCGAGTCACTCTCGTGGCGTCTGTCCACAAAACCTTTGTAAAATCAGTATGAAGTTGGGTCCATGCTCATTCTCGACATTTTGGCTTGTGTGCCTTATTGAGTGGAGGTTGTGTTTCAGCCTCTGTGACTACAGTCACGTCGCACACTGCACATAGTGCTTCCAGAGATTCCATTCATATTTCAGTTTTAATAATGAGTTTGCTAAAGTGTTTCTGGAAGTTTCACGTTTAAATTGACACAGATAATTGTCATTTTGTGTCTTCTTTCTACATGCGACTTCCATGTTCTTTGGCTGCTGGGCACAAAATACTCGACTGTACTGTGATCATATTTTAAATGTTTTGCAGTTTCCTGCATTCCTCTGACTTGCACTTTACTATGCTGTATTTTTCCTACTCTTTCTCAGGCCCATTTTCAGGCCCATTTTAATAATAATTTTCTTAAGTGTGCACAGGGAAATACCTCCGGTTTCCTGTTTTACTCCAAAGAAATAAATACTCGGAACAAATACTGAGCATGCTTTATTTTTAAATAGTCCATTTTTAATTGGAGATTAATCTGGACTGAAATTCTTGGTCCGCAGAGAAGATACAACCAAGATACACACTTGCCTAGTAATTCTGTACACAGCATAATTGGCAGTGAAGTAGTTAGAAGACATAATAATGGCGAATAAGGGTAATGTAGAAATATTGATTCCAGTTTAAACCTTGTGGAGAAATATCTATATATTTTGTTATAGTGTGCTCTGGGAACTGGGTTATCCTACCTGTGTAGTATTTTGAATCTTAATATTTCCCATCACAGATCCCCTGTCCAGTCATCCACCAGTTTTCTATACCACTTACCCAGAACAGGTTCACTGGAGCCAATCTCAGACGCCCTGGGCATGAGACAGGGAAACCCTGGCTAGTGCTGCCAGTACTGTATGTTAACACGAGACGCCAAAAGCAGGAATAATGCTTTAGGTGCAAGTAGCAAACTCATCTTGCGTAGACAGAGATTGAAACACAATAGAAAGAGAGAGACTTTGTGCCAGTGAACCACCAGTAGAACTAAATAAGTAGCATGTGACACCCCCACCCCCCACACAGTGATTAGGCAAAAACAAGCTCTGTTTTTGTCACCATAAAATGCTAAGAATAAGGGTGCAGTCTGCCTTTCACAGTTAACACAGCTGAACATTCCTGTATATAATGGCAGCTTCTGTTGTATCTACTTAAGGTCTACAATGATAGCGCCTTGTGTGCAGCTTACTTACTTAATTTGCTGACTGATTTCTCATCTCTTAATTTTAACTTCATTTCCTTGTATTATCAGATGCTCAGTAGAGTGTATGTATTCTGCTTATCCGGGCTCCAGTTTGTCCTGTGTGTTTATTTCCTGTTTTCTTCATTTGCAGTCTAACTGCAGACAAGTCTAATGAATAAACATGGGTTTAAATGTCATGTTGAAGTCCAGTATTGACAAGGCTGCTGCAAAAGGATCATATTATATTACTTTTATCATGATGATCCATAAATTATTACACACCTATGCTTTGTTCACACATCTGTGAAACACAATGCTCAGAAAGCAGGAAGAATGTTCTACAAACCCAATACTTTGATTTATATAAAACTTGCAGCTGCTAAAATGTGTGAAATGTGCCTAATATTTTATTGGCAGAGTCATCCGTTTCTTGGTGCGACACGTGAAGTACTTCCTCGGCCTCCGTTTCGAGGTGAGCGGCTGGGCGCACCTGCAGACTGAAGGGCCCTTTGTAATCATCTCCAACCACCAGAGCTCCCTGGACGTCCTCGGTACGTACCCTGACCTCCTCTCATAAAAACACTGCCTGGATGGATCCATCTCACTCCCTATCAGCTCCACCATGCAAAACTGCACTCCTGCATGTTCAGTAGCAGAGGTTTGGTGGCGTTCTCTTCAGCCAGCTGCATTTCTGCAGTAAAAGATATTTGACATTGTTATTGCTGCAAATAGATTTCAGTGCAAGTCAATGATGTTGATTGTAATCATGAGGTTGTTTGTTTACTCTGACCGGGATATACAGTGATCACAGAAAGTTTTGGCACGCTTGATCAATTCATTTAAAATATTGCTAATTTATTAGTTTAATTACAAAAAACATTTTTGTATTCATTTTGCTTACAAAAAATATGTATCACATTAGAAACAACCAATAATTTTAAGTAAAACATTTCTAGTAGTAATACATTGAAACCAAAATTATAGTTCTAAAAGAGCTGTCATTGAGTTAAAAAGTTAATTGACATGCAGTCTCATTGGATGCTTTGTAAATAGTAACACCTTTGCAATAACATTTAACACCAAATGTTTCTGTTTAGTATTTCTTAGGGAGCCAGTGACTGCAAAAACAGTAAATAGCAAAAAGGCAAGAACAGAACTGAATGAGTCAGTCAAAAGAAATGGCACTTGATGAAAGAAAATTTCTTTGTGGAAGATATGTGCAGATATGTTAAACATTGCGTGTCAATGGAATTTTATGAAACAAATAAATTTGCAAAATTTTTGCAGAATAAAGCAAGTGCCCCAAGACCACCTGTGAGCATTGTAATGTGAAAAAGAAGCATTTTACAGTTGTGCAATTTTGTGAGACTGAATTTCTGCATCAGCGTCTCCCAGAATGTGGTTTAAGTCCTAAAACTTCATTTAAAACTCTTACTTAAACTATATGCACAGCATTTACGTTGGACATGCATATGAACCTTCGGGATCATAGGAGGCATTCTAATCGATTCATGTGATCTGAGGGCTACAGAAGGATTTCTAAAGACCCAAGTCTCTGCACTTTCCTAGTCAGGCAGATAGTTTGCAAATGGAAGAAATTCAGCGCCCTTGTGCCTCAGCCTTGGAATGAGTGTCTTACACAGGTCAGTGCAGTGACACACCATGGAATCCAAACAAATGTCAAAGAAACACAAGGTGACGTTTAAGGATCTGCAGGCATCTCTTAAGTTGAAGCTGTCCGTGGCCATGGGTATAGTATAAGAAAATTATTGATGTGAATGGAGTTTCTGGAGGTTACCAGAGAGGAAAATACTGCCCTTTGGACTATACTGCCTGTCTCACATTTGCATGAACATCCCAAAGCACTCCTGGAGTGATGTTCTGTAGATGGGACAGAAGTTGATTTTTTTTGTTTTTTTTTTTTTGCTAAATGCTAGCCATGTACAATGGAGGGAGTTTAATGGTTTGGAGGTACATTGCGGGCTCTGAGTCTGGACAGCTTGGAGTCATTGAGAGAGAAATTGATTCCAAGTGAAATTCCACTGTGATATGCCTGCAATATAACAGTCAAAAGAAGTTGTGCCGTGTAATATGACAGTGAGCCAAAACACAGGAGGAAATCAGCAACAGACTAGCTGCATCAGAAGAACCTGACATTCATTGAAATTCTGTGGTTTGATCTAATGCAGGCCCAATCAGGCAAACATCCCAAAAATGTACACAAACTGAAACAGTTCTGTGTAGAAGAATTGGCCAAAATACCTCCTAACTTCTGCATAGGTCTATGAGCAACTATAGAAAACTGAGGTTATTGTGTGTAATAGCTTTTTCCATCAATGAGTATGATTTTTTTTTTATATTTGTTCAGTAAAGATTCGGCAGTGTAAAATGTGTTGCTTGATAACTTAGCTGTAGACCAGATCACATTTTAGGAGTTATTTGAGTAGAAATAAAGATAATTACAAAGGGTTTAAAAGCCTTTCCCAAACACACACACACTCTCGCTCGCTCGCTCTCTCTCACACTCACACACACACACACACACACACACACACACACACAATTCCTAATATATGGTAGTTCTTTGACATAGCTCAAGTTAGACAGCAGATAAGCATGATGAGCATAATCTTGATTCTATATTTTGAACTGGTTACTGGTCACTTCATAAAATAAGTATAAATGTCTGTAAAATAAATAATTCTGTGTCCTCTAATTGCTTTTTCTTATTTGCCTAAAGGTTCATGTAACTCAGGCTATGCATAGTGTCATGTAAGAGTAACTTATCTAACCCCTGTTATGGGGAATCTGCACAGCATATTGGTGTGCATAAATTTCATGTTCTCTTATAAATTTTTGTCATGCTTATTGGTATTAATTTTATAATTAATATACTTATTTTGTGGAGTTTCTTTTTAATGGAATGTAAAGAAAATTTCTCTCCTTTTTTGCAAGGGCAAAAAAATGGGCTTTTAAAACACACCATGTGGCAAAATGTTTTGGTTAATATGCAGCTGGCTTTTGTTTAGTCAATGTGAAATATGCTTCAGTGCTGATTCTAGGTCTTCTTTGACACTCGATCTCCTAAATCTTTGGCTTTAAAGGGGCATGTTTGATAGATGCGAATATTTTTGCAGCACTCTGCACGCTGACAGTAGTAATGAAAATATCTTTAATTTGCTGACTGTTTTTTTCTGATAGCTACGGTTTCACTCGCATACATCTGCCATGCTAGTTCTGCCATGCTAGTTCTGCCATGCTAGTTCTGCCATGCTAGTTCTGCCATGCTAGTTCTGCCATCCTAGATCTGCCATCCTAGAGCTGCCATCCTAGAGCTGCCATGCTTCTTGACCCTTATCCTGTCGACAGTCACCACTAAATGTCAAGCTTGGTTTATTACTGGCCATTAAGTTGTTGTGTGGGGACAACAGTACATTGGTAATCCCACCACCCCTGGGTTTCAAGGCTTAATTTTTTCCATCCTTAATAAGAGTCATGATTGATTCAATTGCTTAGTTTTGTCATGTAATGGCTGACCTTTAGTCATTCTAGTATATATCTAGCTGTGGGGAAAAGAAAAAATAAACATTGAGCGCAAGGCAAATATTTTTTCCATTGTGACAGGTGAAGGAATTTGTCACCATCTAGTGGCAGTTCCTGGCTGAAGATGGCTGTTGCTATTACTGTGTCTCATTTCAAAGATGTGTGTGAGGGGCCTCTGAAGGCACAGCATGCTCTGAACTCACTGCCACACCAGTATGACTTTTCCCCTGCTGCAGACACACGCCCTCAGTGTTCAGTGGTGTCAGTCATAGTTACCAACAGCAGCATATGTGCACATTTCAGGTCCAGAAAGTAAAAATCCAGACCAAGATTTTATTTTATGGGCTGTTTTTGGCAGAAACAAGCCAGAAAGACTAGCAGACTAACATGATTTAGTTATTTTGATGGCCCTTATAGTTGCCTTAATTGATGGCTTCATTCTTTGGGATTCTCTAGTTCCTCTGGGTTTCCATGCTCCCCATTGCAGCTAAGTCTCCTGTACCGTAGGATTCTGCTAAGTCTCCTGTACCGTAGGGTTCTGCTAAGTCTCCTGTACTGTAGGATTCTGCTAAGTCTCCTGTACCCTAGGATTCTGCTAAGTCTCCTGTACCCTAGGATTCTGCTAAGTCTCCTGTACCCTAGGATTCTGC